ATATACTTAATTTAGATGTTGAAAATGGAAATTTGGCTGTGAGTTCGATGTCACCGTTCTGGGACACAATCTTGAATGTGCTAGCGGGCGATTTAGCTGTTTCCAGCCACGTAGATCGCGTTATTTCTGCCGAAGTCTATCTTCCAGAAGCTCCCGTGCTTGCTGCTCTCTTTGTCGATCGAACGTGCACGAAATGCCGAAAGAGTGCACCGGAGGCCAAATCGAAATTGTAATAAATATTCCCCGGAATTTACAGTCTCCCATGAAAAGTCCCAGTTTCCATTATTACTTTACTTTACACTTTAACATATAATGTGAAAAGTCGTATCAATAAAAAATCGCGAAAAGGAGTCTCGTTCCTACGAGTCTTTGCATAAAATATTAATCAATGTCCGTAAAATCGGCGAAGTCCTCTTCGTCGATCGAGCGCCAGCGGGAAGGTCCGTCGCGTCGGCGTCGGCTCCTCATTCGTTCGTGCACCCATAAATGATTTCCTTAGAAAAGAAAATTGAAACCGAGAATTAATTACGTCGTACGGTGAAGGTGGTCACAATGGGTCGCAATAAAACATCCGAGTACAAAGTAGAACAATAAGGACCAAGTACAAAGGCGCGTCGTACAATTAGATTTGTGAACAATTTCCACCTTCCGCCACCCCCAGCGGCCCTCTCCCGCGCCCCCTCCTTCCTCTTCCCTCGCACTCGTCCCCGCGACGCCAGGTAACACTTCTCTGCCATGTCTCTCGCGATTATTCCGAGTCCGTTCCCTGGTCATACCGCTCCGCCGCCGCGTCGTTGTAAACCCGATTACGTACTCTGTGATAATAATCGAGTACGATTGCCGTCAATATAACTTCCGCCCTATTATCGCGCACGCCCCTTGTTTCGAGTTGCCCTGTTATAAAACGTGGCAATTTCGTCGATTCGGGTTTTCCTCAGCGCCGCGCTGTTCCGTGTACTTTCCTAACGAGCTCCGATTTTTATTACCTCTTATTGAGCGCGTGTCGAATTACGATTCCTGAACAGAGAGTACGTACGCTACGGTACAATACGGCATTCGTTGTGCTGCTCGTTTACCTGGCCCGGCACCGATTTCTCCTTAAAGACACTGAGGAATCGGACTTAATTTGGAAATCTAACGATAGTGGCGAGAATTGCAGTCATAAATCTTATTATTATTTTTCACGAAGTAATAAAGTTCGACAAATTTAAAGAGAAGTTCTGTTGTGCGAACTGCTTTGTTCATAATTCTCCCAGGAACAGAATTCTTTTTATGACTCGATATTATGACTTTTTATGACTGGGGACTATTGAAGCAAAATATATTTCATTCAATACTTCTGGCGAGACTTAGACCTACAATTCTTGAAAATACCGTAAATCTTAAATATTGAGTATTAAATCGGATGAAATTTCGCCTTATTTGGATTTTCTTTTAAATGCCAAATTGCGGTGTTAATCTCAATTTTATTTCTAATTATTGTAAGCAACATATTTTATTATTCTAAATAATTTTCAGTGATAATAAAATACGTAAATGTTTTACGTTCCCTGTGTAAAAAATCAGGAGGTACATTAGCTTATGGGAATATTTAAGGGTTTAAAGGTCTGCGTTTCTCTCGGTTGGAGATTTATGAACGATGAAGACCTCCATTAACTGTAGATTATTAAATAGGCCGACTAGTGTTCGACAGTCTAATTGAATGGAGATCAAAGGACGCGCGACAGCGCGAACCCAAGTGACGTTTATCCGTCGTGACAGCACGTGCCTGGTCGCCCACACGCGGGGCCGAGATATTTTTTTTACATCAGGTGGTCACGATTGCAACGTGATAAATATATTCATAGGCGGAATCACGTGGCGTCCAGTGGCGTCCGTTGAGACAAGAAAGGAAGCGAGAGCGCGTGGCGGGTCTGTGTATGATTAATACAGGTACATCGTAGTTCAAAAATCTCGACCATGTCACAATCATTAAATCACATTTATAAATTGAAATTAATATATTGATCAAAATTAGGTTTATTAATATTTATAATTGTAATTAACCACACTTAGAATTAGAAGTCACTGGATATAAATGGTAAATTTTAAGGCAATGGAAAAATGGAAAATTTCAAGGCAATAGTCGAAATGATTTACTGAATGATGAGTCATGGATGAAAAAAAATGTTTCACTTTACTCGATTAAAATGTACTTAATTTTTTCGAAAACAGGTGCTTAAAAACTTTTGAACGGCAGTGTTAACTATATAACAAAAGGCGGGGGGCGGTAGAGAAAAGGTCGCATTCGGTATGCAAAGTGCACGGGCCACGGGGACCCGCTTCGTCGCGTGGAAAAAAAAGGTATGATAAAAAAATGCAAGGTTACCCACATTTTTTTTTTATTCCACCCGAGCAGAGCTTGGTGGCTCGGCGCGGGGTGTGCAGTCGATTTAGGGAACAGGGTAAACTGGACGACGACGTGCAGAGAGTTTGGTTATCGGCGAATAATACCCGCAACCTTTTTTCTACACATTATTATATCTATATCTAATTTTCGAATACAGAGAAAGAATAGTTCCTCATTTTCTGCAAATCGTCAAAATCTATTTATAAGATATTTAATATAAATAATTAATTTGAATAAACGAAAGATGCATGAAAAATGTTCTGAATGGCAGGTAACTTGACGTCTCGATTTGACAGGTTGCTACGAAGTTACTAAATTGCGTTTACTGGGGCGAGACATCAGTTAACCTTCTTAGAGGGGAATGAATTTCTTTTCCTCTTCGAAGAAAGCTATACATATTAGGGGATGAAAGGAAAGAGACAGCCAGCAGCACCAAAAAATATGAATGAAAATTCCAAGGATTTGCATAGAGGCAATCTATATCAATAGAAGCATCAAGTCGTAATTAAGTATTGAATAATACAAAAAGAGAATTCATTAAAATTCTCGATTTCCATGTGAAGAAACCTGCGTTTATAAATCATGCGGACGAAGCTGGATCAATTAAAAAATGTCAAAGCTAGATTAAACGACCTGACAAAATGAGAGACATTCAAGGACAAGCCGATGCAAGCATGCCACGGCGAATTTCGATGCAGTCACCGATCTCCGGTCGCTTAAATTCGAAGGAAGCGTTTGATCTCACTGGCGCGCTGGGTACCAGCACGGCGTCCTTCGTGCCGGAGAAAACGAGTAAAGGAAACAAAGATGGTGCGCGATCGTGGACCGCGATGTTGGAGCTAAGACGGCTGGCCACGAAAATTCCAGCGAAAAAGCGTGTAATCTCGGTGCCGCGGAGTTCCGAAAAATCTCGCCGGATAAAGTTTCGTAAGGACAGAGCGTCGAGGATGCGGACGCGCGAGGATTCCTGTGCCGTGCGCGCGTCCCTCGGCTCTCCTTTCTCCCGCAGCGATCCGACGAAGAAGTGGAGAACCGAGAAGAAGAGGAAGAAACACGAATGAAGATGGAGGAAAGAGGGTAACAGGAACATGCGAGGAGAACGGATCGCGTTGGATCAACGAAGAAAGGAACGGAATGGAAGAAACAAGGGACGAAGAGAGGAAGCGTTCGGCGTCCCACAGGATTCGTCGTCCTTTCAAACGAAGGGATGATAAAGAGAGAAAGGGTGAGAAAGGGAGAGAGAATCGGGAAGAGCAGAAGGGATCGGAGGGGCGAGGAGGATCACTAGGTGGGGACAAGAAGCGCTCGACGTCTCAAATTTGGTTGGCTGTCTCGAATTGTTCGCGTCTCCGTTGGCACGGTACTTTTCGCGGTCCCTCTCCGTCGCACGCTCACGAGGCTACATCGTTGAAAGAAGGGGGCTTTGGGCGAAGGTGCTACGTGGGAAAGGGAGGATGCTGTGCGGAGGAGAAGGAAAGTGGTTGATTCGAGAAGTACTCGTGGAAAAGAGATAGGACGCGGTTGAAATCGGCGAAAGAGAGAACGGAGCTCGATAGGTTGAACGGAGAGAGGTGTTATTCTAGTAAACTGGAGGAGGGTAGGGAGGCGTTTGAAATAGAACGAGAGGGTCGATTGGAGGGAGGGTTGATTGAAGGGAGAAAGTGTTATCGGTCCAGTAACATTAAGAACGAGGGAGGGAGGAACGGTGTAAAGAAAGAGATGGGTGGACACGCGGTAAGGTGGAAGAGGGAAGACACGCCGTCTCGCTGGTGGTAGATGGTGAAGAAGAGAGGGGAAGAAGTCCCTGCGAAAGAGCGAGATAACGGCGGTGGTCAGAAAGAGCGACGTGGTAGCTGGCAAGTGACGGCGTAGAGGGGGCAACGGAGAAGGTTCGGAACGATAGGTAGGGGGAGAGCAGTGCCTTGGCGCGAGCCCGAGTCTGCAAACTCCTGAATTCCAACCGACCGACAGAATAGTACCGGCGCTCGTACTAGGCGGGTCTAGCGAGTGTGTGTATAGAACAGAGTGAAAAGGAGAAAGAGAAAGAGCGTGCGCGTCGAAAAGAATAGGGCGGAGTGAAGAGAGGGAGGGTAAAAAGGACGCACGAGGTTGAGGTCGAGCCTATCTAGCTTACCTATTTACAATCGCGATCCAACGGATTAATCGCTCGATCCCCTGTTCGTGTCCTCGTGATACGGTTACGAGTTACGGTCGTTCGCCACGTTAGTTCTCCGGTCCCAACGGTGTTCGATCTTCGATCGCGCCGCGTCGTCGATCCTACGCGCTGTGATCCATCCCGGCGTAAGAGAAATCGGCGCCGCAATCGAAACGGTCACCGGTGAAGACTTTCGTTCTCGTAGTGACGACCGACTTGGACACGTTGTTGTCAGTGAACGAAGTGAAAAGTGATGGACTGTGATGATCGATGATTCGAGGACAGAGAGCCGCGGCAGTCGTCCGGCCGCGTGAATTTGTTCACCGAGGAACGTTTTTTGATCAAAGAGACGGAAACTAGTGACGAGACACCGAGTGATCGCGAGACGACAATGTAAACCACAGGTGCGCGTTTACTGTTTATTTTTTTTCGTTTTCTTGTTTCAATTCTCGCGAGCACCGTCGGTGAAATTGCCACGTCGATACTGAACTCTCCTGTCCCCGAGGAAACGATCCTCACGTTCAAACACGGCGTCGGTTAATACGAACTACGAGCCGAAGAGCAGAGCCCGTTTGCGCGAACCACCGATCGTACCCGAAACATTGTCGCTGCCGTCGCCGGCGTGGCGGGGGCGACGATGCCGCACACAGTGACACATTCGAATTCGCACCAGTTGGACCCATCGTGGTCGACCTGGACTTTCGTACTGGGCGTCCGTGCGAACATATGATAAATGTAGAACTCGCTGTACCCCGCCTTTTTCTTTTTTCCTTTCTTTACTTTTCGTTCGGCCCCCCTCCCCACTCTACGAGATACTCCTCCCCCACGACACTCCACTAGCTGCTTGCTACTCGTCACGTGGCTACCGTCATTCCGTTCGTGCATCGAGTCATCGTCCATGTGCTCTGCGCGAGGATACCAGTGTCGGCGCTCGACGACGACTAACTGGAGGGAGACGCATGTCGTCGGAACTTAACGCACGGCGTGTTTATCATTCCGGTACAGTTCGTCCCGAGTTCGTCACGTATACTGTTTTTCAATTCGGACAGCAAGAAAGTGAAACGCGATATCGGGGATAGACTTTCGTGGCGCGCGCGTAAGCGCGTGTACGCGCGCATATATGAACGCGGTATCATCGACACAGTGTATCGCGTGTGACGTGGTTCCCATTCGTCGCTCGCGTTCTACGGACAGTGATTATTTTATTTTACGAGTGATTGAAGCGAAAAAGGAATGCGTCTTGCCTATTAACAAGGAAGACGAGCGAACAGCAAGTGCGACAGTGGGGTAGAGACTGAAAGACAATATGAGTGAAATGACGAGTGTCGAACAGCAGCAGCAGCAACAACAGTACGTGGGTGGAACTTCGAATCCTGAGCTTCATTGCAAGGATTGCGGTCTTAATTTCGAAGGTGAAAAAAGTCTCGAAGTGCACCTGCGATACCACCAAGAGAACCTGTTGACCCAGTGGGCCAACCAAGCCCAACAGGAGGAGAGTAACAATAATAATAGCAAGGCCGGCAATCACAACAATCACGTGGGCGTTAAACGCGAGAGCGTAACCGCGCTGGCGGACTCGAGCGAGTCTACCTCGAGGCCGCCCTCTCAAGACCCGTCGTCTTCACAGCAATCATCGCAACAGCAGCAGCAGCAGCAGCAGTCGTCACAACAGCAGCAGCAGCAGCAACAGCAGCAGCAACAACAGCAGCAGCAGCTGCAACAGCAGCAGCTGCAGCAACAACAGCAGCAACAGCAGCAACAACAACCGCAGCAATCAGCCGGTCAGAGTTATAATCATTACCAGCCACCGATGTTCAGTGAAGCAAGTTATTTCATGCAGAACGAACCGGCATTTATTTTGCCCCATCATTACTCTCCGCCGCAAGAGGATACGCAAAATAATGGCGGGGGTAGTGGTGGTGGCAGCGGTGGTGGAGGATACGCGCGCTATCATCCGTATCAACACCAGCAGCATTTTCCAACGGAGCGAACGGGTTCTGTCAGTTCTACCAGCCCGAGGAGTCCGCCCCTTCAGTGTGAGAAATGCGGTGCAGTGTACGAGGATGCGAATCAACTGGGTGAACATGTGCGAACGAGTCATACGGACTCGCCCGGCGGATATCCCGGGCAGCATCAGTATCAGCAGCTCGGTAACAGTCCGCAACAGCAGAACCAGCAATCACAGCAGCAAATGCATCCGTCGCCGCCGCATTCGAATCAGCAGCAGCAACAGCCGCAACAGTCCGGCTACGATTACAACAGCGGGCAAACAGTGAAAACGGAAGTGAAACAGGAACCAGAGGAACAGGCAGAGATTCTCGATCTCGATTCGCACAAGGTGCAGACGCACAGGTACGAGGAGGAGCTGATGAGGCTTCACCAGCAGCAGCAACAACAGGAGCTGCAGATGCAAATGCATCAACAGCAGGTGATGCAACAACACCAGCAGCAACAACGCACCGGAGCGCACTCGGTGAGTTCTATGCTGGGTTGGCCGCCGGCCGCCCAGCCACACGATTATCATCCGGGATTATCGCCCATGGGGCCCATGGAAAATATCGCGCCTCTACCGGATCAGAGTCAATTCATGCGCGGGCAGCATATGACGGTAGAATCATCGCGACATCCGGGTTCACCCATTATCACTAGTACGCAACCGATGCCCGGACATCAGTTGCCCGCTGGGCTTCTCCAGCAGCCGCCGAAACCGCCGCCGTTGGCTAATCAATCGTGGAAAAGTAACGAGGCGCGGCGACCAAAGACGTACAACTGTACCGCATGCAACAAGTGGTTCACCAGCTCGGGCCACTTAAAGAGGCACTATAATACGACTCTGCACAAAAACGCGGTGAAACAGAGCAACCAGCCGGACCCGGCGAATATGCCAATCAGTGCCCATCATCATCCCGGCAGAGACAACCATACGACCGGTGGCCGCGGCAGTGGATCGTCCAGATCGCCGGAGCTATCTTCTTCAGGGAGTCCCCCAAACTTGATGGCAGGTCCCTCGGGAGAGGCGGCGAGGGGCCTGCTCCACACGCCCACCAGTCTCTACAACAACAGCAACAATTCCAACAACAACAGCAACAGCAGCACCAGCAGCGAATCTTCGGCGGCAGCGGCTCTAACGCAGCACCAGCAGCAACAACAGCCGCAGCAACAGCAGGCGGCTTCGGGGGTGCACTTGGGCACCACAATGGTAGCGCCGCTCAATTCCCCGGTTCAATCGCCGCTGGCAGGCCACCATCAGCAACAAATGGGTTCCCCGTCCTCCCAGCTGGGTCACCAGCAGCCACAGCAACAGCAGCAAATTCATCACCTGCCAATGGGTTCGCCCTCGGCCCAGCTTCCGGTGCAACATCCCATGAGTTCGCCCATATCGCCCATGCACCCACCGTCGGCGCCCCACCTGAGTTCCACTTCGCCAATGGGCTCGTCCCACCCGCACCACATGAGTTCGCCGTCAACCATAACGCCGGGCTCGGTCCACCCAGCAATGGCTTCGTCCACGGCGATGGGGGGTACTACGATGCCTCATCAGCCGTACCCAAACGCCTTGCCCCCCCACGTTATAACTACTACCAACATCCCGGACCTGCTGGAGTCTATCACCATCCAGCTAACTACTATTGGTGATGAGATTCCCTCTTTGCCACATACCGGGCAATCTCAGGGCCAATCGCAGCAACATCTTCAACAGCAACTGCAGCAGCAACTTCAGGATGTTTTACCCGGTTTCGGGACTTTCAGCAACCATCAGAGGTCCCTGATTAGTTTCACGCCGTTCGACGTGAACGGGTATTTGATCGGCCAGAACCAACCGCAGGCCATTAACGTGGGGGGGCTAAGTCCAGAGGAGAACCCATCTCCTCAAAACAGATCTTTCGAATCGTCAGAGTCGAAGTACAATCCGTACACGAGTTCACCGCCCCGTTACGAGTCACTGGCGAACGTACAGGTCAATACGCAGACGAACACCGACGGCATGATCGTTAAGCAGTACGAGGTCCAGACGAATCAACATCACCGTCTGTCGCAATTGCTTCAACGAACGCGAAACGAGCTGGAGGCGAACAATAATCTGCCTCAGGTGATCCAGGCGAAGGAGGAACTGAATCCGAACGTCGGCAGGCAGTTTGAGAAAAATACGAAGCCGAAGCCTAGCCCGGAGATAACCAAGGAGCATCAGGTGACCAGCACCAATACCGGCTCGCACTATATTTCCCAGGATGGCTTTCATAAGTGCATCGAGTGCGACAAGGTCTTCAACAAGGCCTGCTACCTGACGCAACACAACAAGAGCTTCCACTCCGGCGACAAGCCGTTCAAATGCAATCAATGCGGCAAGAGGTTCCCCCTCGAGTACCTGCACGCGGAGCACCTGCAGAAGCACGCCGGCGACAAGCCGTACAAGTGCGAGATATGCCCCAAGCAGTTCAACCATAAAACTGACCTCAGGCGGCACCTGTGCCTCCACACTGGCGAAAAGCCGTACGCCTGTGATACTTGCGGCAAGGGATTCATCAGGAAGGACCATATGATGAAGCACGTTGACACGCACAAAAAGAAGAACAATCACCACAGCGTTCATTTGCGGGCGTGATCCGCGTGGAGTTCGAAGATCGGGGACTGGGCATCAGCAACAGACGTGTTATCGGGAGCCTGTGCTATACGTGATTACGAGACGACGAAACAAGGTCAGACCGTCCTCCGATTGGTAAGGCAATATTGTGAGATCATCGTACTTTAAAAATAAGCAGAGAGACTTAAAGACTCGACTGCATTACCTTTTAGATTGTGATGAAGTTCGTAATTTATTCTAATACTTTTTTGGTTAAATAGGAATCAAAATTTGAAACGACGACGTGAATCCTTTTTTTTTTGAAAAATATTCACGCCGTCATTTCAAATTTCCTTTTGATTCCCATTTGAAATATCAGTTTTCCATTGATCGCGACATTACCCTTGTTCGAGAGTATCGACCAATGTCTTTAGCCGGTAATAACGGTCGAAAGGATATTAGTTTTTTGCTCAAACATACGTTTAATTTGACTTCGAATCATGATTGTTTCGACAAGAAAATTTTGCATGTGGAAATCGCGACGCGTTTAACAGGCTTTTTCAGAGATAATCAGATTTCGTCTGCCTTGAGAATCTAAAATCGACCGCTGATCGACGATTTTAAGTAACGCGATACGCGGAGTCGATCATGAGAAATCGACGAGCGATTATTTTCTCTATATTCCCTCGCTGATTGCTCGACTTCATGGATCGCGACTTCTTTCACGGGTCGAAACGGAGCCCGGTAACGCGATCGCGAAACCGCGAGACTTTCGGCAAAGTCGAAGAACAAGACTTTTGAATGATGATAATAATAATAGATCGGAAAAGTAAAAACTGGAAAGAAAATTTAAAAAAAAGAAGAAACGCGCAATGGAAATTTCTGATGCGATGTAAAACCTTTGAAGCTTATGAATTGTACAAAATATGTTAATTGTATAAGCTTAAGGATTACATGTCATTGTAATTATTAAATTTAATTGAATATTCTCTAGAAAATGATTATGGACTCTAATCATAATACTCGTGTTTTATAGCGTAAGATTATCGAGGATGAACGAAATGAAAACGAGAGTGATTGATAAATGATTAATCGCGAAAGGACGCGGCGACGCTCGCGCGATTTCGTCGAATCATCACGAACATCGTTATTTTTGCAATTATCTTTTGTTTTATAATTATTACTTTTTAAGATTTGTATTTCTTATATTGATTTTAGATATTGAAGAGGGTCGAGAGATGATACCGCAGTATCTCCTCATTTATTCTCTTATAGTTAATAATAACGAAAACTAGAAGTAGTATGTAGTTATGACGAGTCTCTCGACGCGCTCTTTTCGTCACATTCCTTGCGTATTTTTTCATACATTCCAGTTTCGCAGTGTGAACGACTTATCGCGTCGGCGTCGCGTCATGTTCCTTTCTTTTTTGTATAAACGTTAGAATTTTTAATAATAGCCTAAGTTACGAATTGCACGTTGCTCGTAATGAACCTCGCTCGTGTCGTTCACCCCCCAGTTAAAGAAAGTAACTACGGGATTTTAATCAAGCATAGTTCATTGATATGAGCTCCTCTTATCTCGATTTATACTTCTCAAATTTTACTATCTATTTTAACGAAAAATTGACGAGAAATAACATTTACATTTCGAAATCATTGAACGCGATTGCAAATAATTTAAGATGATCATAAGTGACGCGATCATCGACATCGTCAAATTCTCGCATCGCCTGTAATTGCATGGCACGAATAATTGGTGCCCGATTGATCGGCCACGAAAACGAGGCAATCACCGGGATCGTATCGGGCCTCTCGTCTCTCGTGACACGAGCGAATTTCCCTTCGAGCTACGCACAGCTCGTTACACTTACAAACACACCGGTATACATACAAGTACACATATTACACACGCAGCGAGTAAACGTTGACCATCCGCGTAATGCAATTCATGTATATTCATAATACCTCTTAACTACCGTTTGATTAATTATTTAATGAAAATCGATTGATCAAATAATAATGGAGGCGAATAAAAATCGTGCGTTAACACGCCGGGGAATAATAATCACGCGTCGTGTTAACGCTTAATTTTTATCATTATATCTGTGTCAATATTTAATCGACCAGTTTTCACTAAATAATTAATCAATCGGTTACGAGGTATTACGTTGAACAGATATTCGAATCAGTTTGTTCCCGTTTCTGATTGTTATTGTTGTGATTACCTTTGCCATTACGCGCACAGTGTCGATCGACTTGTTTCCTTGTTATGATCCTTTAACGCTATAACCGTTTCGTTTGTACATTTTCAAATAGATTATTGTTCCTCGATATTCTATTGCATTGTTTAATTGGTAATCGGAAGTATTGCTCAAAATAGTTTTTCTAATAGACGAAATAGATGTTTTCATACTGTACGTGAATCAACTGTGCAATGATTCGCCTGTTATTAAGTATGCAGTATTATTTCTCAGCCTTTGTTCAAATTTCATCTGTTCCTTAATTATCTTGAACAATAGATATAATAATAATAATCTTACTCAGAAGAAAATTGTTCAGCCACGACACGTACAAGTACACTTATACACACAGCTGTAACGTCCTTTCACGAGTATTTCGATCGTCTTTCAGTTGTTTAGTATGAAAGGAAGTTAAAAAGAAAGAGAAATAAAGTTGACGAAGAAATGATGACGTGAAAGCGAGAGAAAAATAAGACGATAAATTATAAAGCACTCTTGCCATTTTTACTACGTAACGACACCCAGAACAGACTACCTCAGAGTTCAGGAATTTAACGATGAATGAAAGGAAGAAAGAAATGATGAAAGAGCCAATGCAATAATAATAATAATGTTATTAAAAGAAGAAAAACTTAGCTGAACGCGCATCCGCGCGGGTGGAACGATGTACTTAATCGTTTCTGTCTCAGATTATCGTTCGAAAATAAAAATTTTTTCGTACGTCACATTCACAAATACAATTTTATCATTCATAATTTGTCGTTTTTACAAAAATACATAGAGACACAGCTTCGCTTCTTGCCTTATTTCTGCTGTAAAGTTCCTCGAACCGCCCGCCGGTCGTAAGAGCGTGTAATAGAACATTATACATATAGATATATACGAACCGCCAATTTCATATTAACCGTACTCTCCCCTCTCGCTCTTATTCTCCATCTCTCTCCCGTTTATTATTATTTTAATATAATATCCAATATATTATTCTAATATAAACGGAAGAAAGATACAGAATAAGAGCGAGAGGAAAGGATACGATTAGTATGGAATGGACGGTTCGTAAATCGATGTACTTTATAGAGACATATCAAACAGTATTACTGTAAACTCAGTTTTAATATTAAATAATTGTGTAAATCTAAATGAAAGGAGAAACGACGAAGAGAAGGGATAAGATTGGCAGGCTGTAGTGAGACGCGTTTGATGAAATCAGATCAGCGAATGATCGCGAGAATTATACATATTTCCAACGTCATATCATACCATAAATCGCCTCACGGGATCTTCACGGTCAATTTCTCTTATCACGTTTAGTAAACGCGTTTGCTTCTTGCAGTACGAACATGTACTGCGAGAGGCAATACTGCGTTTTACTAAACGTGATAACAAAAATTGAGGGTAAAGACTCCGTGACGCGATTTATCTCACGTGTTTTCAGCGAAAGAACGCGGAACATATCGCGTCACATACATTTGCACATCACAGAGGGCATTAATCTATATATGAAATAAATATACATAGAGTAATGGTGATTTCGCGAGCGACGACGAAGCGGCGAAATATATTTCTCTAGATTTGTTTTTAGACAAGACGCTTGTCTCTTGTATTATTACTATTATTATTGTATTATTAATAATATTATTATTGTATTATTATGTAATAAAAACTACTGCTATTAAAGACAGCGCGCAAAATCGTTAGTATTTTTAAACACGTTCCGTGAGCGCGTTTTCGTGCGAGAGCATGTTTGTAATTGTAAAATAGTTGTTCCCGCACACAAGTGCAAAATACATATACATATATATGATGTATAAATATATATATATATATGTACACATCATATATACGTATATACATAGTATACATACGTATACATATGTGTATATATATACACACGGTACCAAACTGTCGTTGGTTGTGCCAAAAAAGATAAGAGAAACGAAGAGACGAGACGAGATGTAATAGAACCTTGTGTGCTTCCTCTCACGTGTGATTCTAATTTCATGGGCATTTGACAGAAGTAAAAGGTAAAAATAGAATGACAAAAATGTAAATGAAAGAGAGAAGAGGATAGGAAGATAAAACAGGTTTCTATAAGTAAAAATGATTGTAAAAAAAAAAAAACAAATAGTTCATGAGCGTGCCGGAATGCGTGCGTCCGTGAGCGAGAAAAGAGAGCGTGTATGTGTGGACCATTGCGTGAGAGAAGGGCGAGATCGAAGAGAAAGACGCCGAGGGAAAGGGAAAGTGGAAGGAATTCTTATTCGATAATAACAAGCATTTCCGCGCATACCCATTCCTCATTTTGTGCCATAATGAACGCGTGTTGAATAAAAATTTGTAAAGATTTTTGTTTTTGATAGGTTTAGAGAATATACGTGAATGCGTGGTGTGTATCTCGGTGAGCATGTATGAGTGTAGTACGAGCATTTGGTCCGTAGTGAATGATTTGTATAATTAAATATACATATAAGTATAATACGGTAATGTGCCGTGAACACGGAGAGGGAAGAAAACTCATGGACAGAGAATCGAGTAAAAGTCGCGCAACGATGTTCGCCCGTTCGGGAAAGTATGCGAGTAAAAAAGAAGTCCGGCTTGAAATCGATGAAATTAAGCGGGACGTCATAGATATTTAAGCGCATAATTGCGAAGATACGCGGTTTCTGTTCCTCTTTTTTTTTTATTGTACATGTATATGTTCTCTTTCTCCCACGTGATAACGCCTATCGCAAGGTAAGAGAAAAATGTTAACGCAGAGAACGGAGGCGTATAAATATTTAAGATGTGTATTATTTTATACGCGATTAATTTTGTTTTTATAAATATATTTTATTTGTCAGCACATACACACACGATCTGTTTATTCCTGGTTTCTATATCAGTTCCTTTATTTTCATTTTCTCCGCTCACTACTTCCATTCAGTCGACGACATCGTTGAGTTTAACGCGTTACCTGACGTGAGTCAGCAACAACATTGTCCGCTGTTCAACAATTATTCAACGAAAATCCTTGGTTTAACGTAAAATATTTACGTGATCAACGAGTAGAAGCAAACAAATGCAACTCCATCATCCTGCATAGATATCTTATCAATCACTTATCATCAGATTGTTTACCACCTGACTCACGTCGAGTTAAACATCGGTTATTCCTTGTAACAATGACACATCTTCGACCAGATTATTTTTGAGATACTTGTCGATGGTTTCATACAGAGAAAACAGTTATTGTTTTCGTTTAACGTTACGTCACACTACCTTAGTACTCGGGACCGTTATATTAATTTATCAACGCGATCTAGCATGCTAGTTGCTTTAGACATTAATTTTCCTTGAGTTACAGAAAGTGCGCAATACGATACGAAAAAATCACGATAAATCGTTGTTGCAAATTAAGTATAACTTCACTCACGATCTTTTTATATCCAGTGGTATCTGAAGCTTTGACGTTCGCTACGTTTCGATGAGCCGGTACACACTCTTGTCTCGCGGATCTCTCGCCGGAGTTAATTGTAAGCGTAAAACCCTCTCGGGATCGAACTCGCGCTCGCGTTAAGATAACACGGGTTCCGTCAGTTTCGCGCGGTCGTTTTCCACGGGATGCACGTTCCGTTGTTCAGTCAATTTTCGTTTAACGCCGTGGCGCACGGGCGTGCGTGACTCCGTGAGATAATCCCGATCCGATCGCGGGGAGAGGATCCCATCGCGCGTCATCGGCTCGTCCGCGCGGCGCGTTCCGCGTTCTCGTCGACGCCTCCGAAACCCCCGTCGTGTAATATTCCTCCCCCGACGCCAGCCTCTCGTCGCGCACACGTAAACCTTGGGCATTCTGTAATTTAGTAAATTGTTGCGGACTCGGCGCGGCGGAATCGTTCGGCTCGCGAAACGACTCGCCTCGCGCGGCTCTCGAGAGCACGATTTCGCGAGAACGAGCGGCCGCGGGCCATTTAGACGGATCGAACCGGGCGCGATCAACGCGGTGTTCCATTCGATCGGGTCGAGTCGAGATCGCGGGTCGACACGTTTCGCAGGACGATGGTCGGTTTTCGGCACCCGTTGTATAAACGGGCCGATTTTGTGGGCATTCATATTCGACGTTCGTCGAAGAACTGAAGTGTAAGGCGCCAGTTTGGCGGACGTTTTGTTCTGCGTATTCGCGGCAGGTCCCATCATTGTTAGACTTAGGCAACATCTACCTGATCACGAAGCAATATATTGAATGCGATCTATCTACGATTTATTAAGGTGGATGGTAGGATGAGATTTGACAGAGAGTATACCAAAAATGAGGGAGGAAGGAGGAAACGTTGGTGAGAAGTAGCTGGGAGGAGATAAGGGAACGGAAGATAAATCGAGAGTAAAACGATGTTAGGTGTAGTCCACTATATTGTACTATGCGTCTCCTAGCTAAATTTTTATGTTTTCTAATTCGTTGTGAACGAATGTTTTTTGGTATAAATATATAAATAAATGAATCTATATATATATAAATATATATATTTAAATTCTAGGATATTAATTGTAAGTGGTAAGCAAGCCAATCAACGAGCTGCGTGGCGGCCGCGATTCATCGTCTCGCGTTCGTAGTTCGTCGACTCATTCGATAAAATTTTGAACGTCGACGCGCAACCGATCAGACAATCGAGGTCTACAAAAAAGTATCCGCGTTTCCAAATTTCTACAGCGGTCCTCCGGTCGTCGGCGCGCAAAGTAAATCATTTCAAAGAAAGTTTCAACGTACTCAAAGTGTTCTTCACGGTGAGAATTCACGTGTCATGAGCGAGTAGCGAAATTTCATAAAAGGACACTCAATCTATAATAGACATACCCATAATAAGGGATACGAAGTATCATTTCTCGACTCGGATCGCGGAGGTGATCCGAGCTCGAGGTGGAATCTTTGCGCGCACGATTATCGAGTTCTGCGTCGGAGAGAATTTAACAAGGTAGAAAGTGGTGCAAAGCTTCGATATACATAATAAAGTGTACACTTGGTATACAGCTCGTTGCCAGAGAACGTCACCGTAAGCCATCCAGTCGCGATTCGAAGATGATAAATCGATCAGTGCGCAGATTAAAAAAGAAATGGTCGAAACGAAGTGCTTAGCCCGATTCTACCGTCGGTTTATTTATATAAGAAAGAAGTAAAAACGTGTAATTGTTCTCCCGTAAGGAGCTCACTGCCGCCACGAGACGAAGGGAAATATTGTAAGATGAAGCAGAATAAAAAAAAAAAAAAGAGAAAAGGTAAAAACGATAGAAAGGAAGGAAAATGAAAACGATCGACTTATGTAGGCGCACGTATGGGATTCGTATAGAGGCACACGTCCTGTGCCGCGTGTCTGTATACGTC